GTTAATTTAAATGGAAATTTTTTCTGGATCTCAATTCGATTAAAATATTTCAAAAAATAAAACATGAATAATATTTTGCAGTATATATATATATATATATATATATATATATATATATATATATATGTATATGTGTGTATATATATATATATATCAAGTAAATACCAATTAGCATATTAAATTGTTATTTTAATATTTAATTTGATAAATATATTTTTCCAATTCCTAATGCCTTTGATGATAATATTTTTCCAATTCTAATTAACTTTTTTCAAGTTAAATACTTTTTTTAATTACAAAATTGATTTTTAGTATATTAAAATTGATCCAAATATTTTTTTATTAAACCCACAGAATATTAAAAAATATTTCTCTTTAATATTTTAAAATTTATATTCCGTATTTTATATGGTAGTAGGGCATAGCTTATGGATTGGAACTGCTTAAGTAATGATGTAGCCGTCTTTCACTGTCAATTGTATTTAATGCTCTGTTTCCCACGCTTTCTTAGGCATTAGTAACTTATTAAATTGTTCTCAACCCAATGTAATTTCCAGCCGCCGTTTGAGATCCGTGTATGCTTTAAATGCCTTGTTCCCCATGCCTATTCTCAACCATTTTATTCGTTTACTTAATATCTTGTTAAGAAATTGCTCTTATCTATTATTTATAAATATGTGCTCATACTCATGATCCTCAAGTGTTATTTCCATTCGCTTCTCTTCTCCTCCCCGTTTAAAGTATGTTTGAACTTTTGATCGCCCAACAATTTTTCATATGTCATCTGCACAGTCCGAAAAATGGATTCAAATTTTTTATTTGACAACAAAGTTGATGAAGGAAAATATCTTCAAAAAAATGCTTTGAATGCATTTTTAAAATGCACAAATGTTTATACCGAACGCCACACTTTCGAAAAATATAGATTTTCATTTGAACGCACAAATTTAAAAATAAATACATTCCAAAAAAATTATTTGGAATTAAAACAGATTTTGCGAGAAGTGGACGTAAAAATTTATTTTGAATTGAAACAGATTTTGTGAAAGAAAATTAATTAGTTTTGTATAGCGATGAGAAGTTGGTCGTTCAAACATGGTTGAGATTGAAGGTCCGAAAATGATTTCAAATCGAACTTGAAATTGAGAAAATCTTTTTCACTCAAAGTCTTGACTTCTGTTTTTGGATAAAAAACCAACAAATATTTATGCGAAGTTGTTTTGCATGTTTGGTAATTATCATTAACAAAAACATTTCGGATTCCAAAAACGCCATCTTCAACAATTTGGTTTTCAAAACGCTTCTTTTCGGGACTTTTTAGTTGAGCATGAATCCTTGTTCCCTGCAAAAAAAAAAAAAGAAAATATTTAGAAAATAAGTTTAGAAGAACGAAAATATTGTGTAAGAAAGTATACTAATAAATTACGCGTTCATCGTGGAAGATGACTTCTAAGGAATCTCCGCCCTTAGACCAAGACGGAACATGGTAAACGCGAATTGCTCGCAACTTAAGTATCTATCCCGTTTTTTTTGTTATTAATGCTGTCAAGCATGTGCCACATTCCTTTAAAAGGCTTTTTGGACATAATGGTATTCTTTTTGGTAAGGAAGTTTTGTGGGTGATGGAGAATTTCGCTCTTCAACTACGGTTATATAATGGTCTTGGATAGGTGTGAAAATCTATTGCATTTAATGTTCATGTACCATAAGATTTTTTCAAATCCATAGCATTAAATGCATCAGGAAATTGGGCATATTTAAAAAGTGCTTTTCAGTTTAAAGAAGTGTGCTCACACGCCCCAATTGTTGTTTTAATAATTAAACATGCCGCTCAGCCGTAAAAAGTGTGCTCACACTTCCCAAATTTTTTTTTAATAATTACCTATTCTGCAACCTTATTAAACTACAGCAGTCCTATTTTTAATTTAGTTTTGTTTAACACCCTGGCGCTTAACATTTGATGCCCAATATCCGTACCAGGCCCATTACATAACATAGCACATACCCGGCCCGAATAATTTAGGCGGGAACACTGTTCATTTTGGCCTCCTACCATTGTATATATGGAGATTTAATTAAATTTTAAGGTCCAGTTTACACTTTCTAACTGCTTAGGATAAATTTAGGCCCAATTACCTCATTCGGCAGTCGTATCTTGGGCCCAGTAAGTCTAATTCCCAACCCGTTTGCACGGTCGGCTTTAGAACAACGTGCCCTACAACATAGGTCAACCCCCATATTAAATATGCAAATTAGAAAATAATCCTCGTATTGACCGACCCAATAATTAATTAATTCTATAAATTAATTAAAATACTAAGCCGGGTTTTGGGGCGTTACACAGATTGTCCATCTGTTTGCAAATAAAATGATGTGCTAAAGTTGAGTTTACTACCTAATGCTTTCTGTAGACTTTTCCTGAATTGCGATGTAAAACGAGGGTCACGATCAGAAATGATTGATAGAGGCACACCATGAAATCTTACAATCTCACAGATGTAGAATTCTGCCAAACTTTTCAATACCTGAACTGAATTTGATAGATGCACACAATGATAGGCGGATCTAAACTGAATTGGATTATTTAATTACCAATAGGTCTGTTGTTAGGTTTGGCATTGTGGAGCATGTTTCATATGTAGTGGTCCAGGGTTCAAAACGTACGTACACGAGTCACTGTTTTACCTAAGGGATTCCTTGGTAGAGACTCCAACGTGCCCATTTAGGATTTTCGTTGGGTTTGTCCGAGCATTAGCCTCGAGGGATCCTCTCGAGCGTTCGTAATTCTAATATGTTGATTTAAGCCTTAGTGTTGTAGGGACATAATTAGCCTATTGAGAATAAATGAATTAGAACTGTTGGATCCTTGTATACTCTATAATTGTTGCTATGCATGTTGTGTGCATGATATAATGTGGTGGTTGTGAGTTAGTGGATTCGCTTATGGGTATGCTCGAACTGTTAGATATTTCCCACTCAGCTTCATTCCTGAGCGTGTAGCCCCTTTTCCCCCTTTGTTACATGTAGGTGGTCGTGGAAGATTGATTTTGGGAATCCATCCTAGAGAGCAGCCTGACGCAGGAGATGTACAAATGCATGGATTTAGTAATGTTGATATTTGATTATAGGGCTTCCACACGGTTTGTATAAACTCCGATGTGTACTTAAATGATTTTATATTTGTTTGAGTTCTAAACTAAACGTTTTAATTTATTGAAAAATATTATATGTGTATACTAATTTAGTGGCAACCCGGTTCGCTAACCTATTTATCAGGGTTATGCGGGTTGGGTTGTTACACTCGGTGTGTTTCTCCTCACAGAATCGAGCAGGAATGTACTCCTTAAACGCCAGTCGAAGAATTCTTAGGTCTAAGGGTTGGGTGCGTTTTGATCTTCGCCAGTGCGCTTTCACCACTCGTAAGCTCCTTCACAAAGTAATTGGGATGCAAGTTTTGGACAGTTCGCCAAAGGTACGTTCAAGTGTTCCAAAACTCTAGTGGTTTGTTCAATCAAGTCTAGAGCAATTTGGGGTTCAGCAATTCTATCTCCATAGAATTCTTCTACACCACTATCTTTCAAAGTCTTGAAGGTAATCTGACGAGGTGGTGGTGGAGGCATTGGTTGGAACATAGGGACATTTGCCATTTGCTGAAGAAAGTTTGCCATAAAAACAGGCATTACGAAGTCAGCTTGACCTCCAACATTATGATTATTTCTCATGTTTTGGGAAACGTTTTGTTGATTGTTTGGTTCATTTTGGACGGGAGGAGTGAAGCTTGATGCTTCGGTGTGAATACTTACGTGCTCGTTGTTGGGCCCTTGATTGGCCTGATCATGTGCTAATTCGTGACACATTCTACAAATAACATGAATTCCTTTCTTAGGATTCTTTATTTGACTAGTTTAGTTGGCTAGCAGAATTCACAAGGAAATACAACAATTGCAATGATTGTACACAATCGGAAGGATTTTGAGAAGAAACGACAGGGTTTATTATTTCAAATTGTTAATGCTTGAATCAATGGTCGGATCGTGCTGAGTCCACAAGAGGGTCCTCCACACCGGATCTGCAGATGCTATTTACAGAATCTACGCTAAACGTCTCTTCAGGTTCATCTCATTCCCATGCGGCTTTACGGCGCAGATAAATCTTCAGTTTAGTCATTCTCGCAATGCAATGAGCATGTTGATAATGGATCAAGGAGTCATACACTTTTTTCTTATTATTCTGTCTCTTGAAAAGTCAAACATGTCTCAAACTCTTGTTGCAATTGGGTTGCTGTATCACATATGGAACCCTTCAATTCCTAGAAGCGAGCGTCAATGGCTGTCAATTGCTCCATGATGGTTGAGGAATCTTGAGTAATAATTGTAGATGATAAGTAAGATTCAATGAGAGCACCAATGATACACAAAGTATTGGGATAGGGAAAGCTTTGAGTGCCTTCGGACTCTTGAAAAATGAGTTAGAGAGAGAGAGAGAGAAAGATGGCGCCGGTGAAGCAGCCGAACAAGGAAGACAAGAGAGAAACATAGGTTGATTACTCTTATTTCTTAATTATGATGAAGGTCTACATCCTTACTTATAAAAGATAGAAACCCTAATCCTAATTAAACTAGGTTTGCTATTATGACGCTTCAATAAAGGCGACGAGGTAAAGAACCGTAAAGAAATCATCAAACAAGCTAATAATGAACTCGCCTAATAAAATCTTAAGTACATAAATATATATGATTTAACAATAAAAGAGCTACAATTAATAAAGAGCCTCTTGTTGTGTAGTCGTTGGGCCATGCCAGGGTTTCCTAATAAGAACACTCCGTCGTACCAATATCTCCCCGTTGTCAAGTTCAGGTTCCTCATAATCAGAACACTCTGCCGTACCAATATCTCCCTATTTCTCTAATTTGTTTGTGGCATGTTTAGGAATAACGTCAGACATTAATGTTGGCGTTTTAGATAAAATTTAACAGTACAAATTATTTTGAAAACGCTAACGCTAAACACTGCCCGTAGATAGACTTTTCAAAACGCTATTCCAAAACTCAGAAAAAGTGTTTTCATGTCTTTTAGAAAAGCTATTCCAAAAGAGGTCATTCGTATCAAATATTCAAATCCATTTTCTACCTTATCATTTCCAAAACTCGGGAAATGTGTTTTCGTGCCTTTCTATTGTCGGGGCGCGAAAGCTCTCATTGCCGGAAGAAGCAGCGAGACACCGAGAGAGATGCCATCGGCTAGCGATTGGATTGAAACAGATGAAACCGCAAAGCAGTACCTGAGTCGGCTTCTCACGGATCGTCCTTTCGCCCATCTTCCGCCACCTCTACACCGCATTCCCCTCCGAGCCGGCAACGTCGTCGAGATCGTCGGCCCTTCACCCTCCGCCAAAACTCAGATTCTCATACAGGCAAGACTTCTTGTACTCGTACATAACATATTTGTATGCATATATTTATGCGAATATTGCATTTCTCCTAGTGGTAGACCCATTTTGAAAGGATCGATTGCATTTCAGGCTTCCATCAGCTGTATTCTGCCCAAGGAATGGAAGGGCGTGCATTATGGAGGGTTGGGGCGCCCAGTGGTGTTCATCGACTTGGATTGCCGCTTTGATATTTTGATCTTTTCAAGTTCTCTGAAGCAGCGCATACTAGAAGCCAAAGGTAATTTTGACAGTGCTCCTTTAATTTTCGCTCAAAATTATGGAGAATCTGTTGTTGAGGCATTAACGGCATTTATATATTGAACTCGGGTAGTTAGGAAACCTGTTGAGGACACTTTTCTGCAGGATGCGAAGAAACTTATGTATTGATGTGGCTGCATATTTTCACCTTTAGATATTGTGTTATCAGGAAAGAGTATCCCAAGCATAAAAGGAGGAGGAGCTAACATGTATGACAACGATTTAGTTGCAGAAAGCATGAGAAAATTCATGTACATTCGTTGTTATGATAGTATCCAGTTTCTCGCTACACTTAAGGTCAGTAGTTTGGTGCACACAATCTCAGCCAGGTCTTCATTTTCATTATTTTTTATGTGAAAATGTAAGATTTTCGTTTATTTATTACTCCTTATCTTATATATTTCATATTTGGTTTCACCGAGTTGTTTTTGTTTTATTTCATGTATGATTTTCTGCATTTGACTAGTTTGTGATGCTCTTAGTGTCTGTGAAACCGGAAAAGAATCAAATATTTATTTGGACATACTCAATTGCGAGAAGTTCTATCATGGACCTAAGGTTGACAAGGTCCACATGCTCATCCTCACAATTTTTTTTTAAAGAAAATGAATAAATGCTTACCTCATTAATAAATCTTTATTTGGCTTATATGAAGGTCCACCGTGGACCTTAGGTCCATTTAAAGATTTTGCCCTCAATTCACACTGTATTAGATTATTAGTGACTGATGGCATATACTCTGTATAGATTACATTTTTCTTAACTAAGTATGTTACTCGTCGTAGTTTTGGGGAATGAGGTGAGTGTGTGTAACTGAGACATTTTTATAGATGCTTTGTATATCATAGTCATAGTTTTCAAGGCGTCACCTTGGCGTCCTGGCGGTCAGCTCCTCTCGCCATGGTGTATCGCCTCGCCTTATTTCGCATCCCTCGCATATGCGTCGCCTAGCCCTCGCCTAGGCGTTGCCTTGCCCTCGCCTGTCGCTCCGTCCTCGCTTAGGCATCACCTAGTCCTTACCTTGGCATCGCTTAGGCGTCGCCTAGGCCTCGCCTTTTGAAAAATCATTTATGCTTTTTAGTCAGTGACTTTTTTCATGCTCTATATTTACTTTGCACTAAGAAGTCGCATATTTTGTTTTAATCATATTTCGTATTTCATATTCCTTTTTTTCCTCATATTATGGCGTGTTTATATTTTTTTAAGTATGTAAGGTTTAGAGAACACATTTGTTTTTATTTAAATCAGTGTTACTAATGTATAACAATCCTGATTTCTTATGTGCTGCCGCCTAGGTCGCCTAATTGTCTAGGCGGTAGACTGGCGCTGTGCCTTGCCTTGGTGGGTGGCGCCGTAATAACTATGATCATAGTTCATCATGTTTGGAATATGTTAGTCATTGTTTTGTCCCTCTTTATTGAGATTGTAGACTATGCACAATCAACTTCAAAAGGAAAAAGAAGCGCACGGCATTGGTGCTTATCTAATGATTATTGACAGGTTTTCTTTAGGCTGGTCAGCCATTCTTATATTTCTTTAGATTGCTTTATTTCCCTATGTTCCTAGGGTTTCTCCTTGAATTGCACTTGCTATGTACTTCCACAGTTCACATAGGTATATTTTGTATTATATTAGGGTTACCTGCTCAATTTCCCCCTTTCCCATGTTTTTGGAGGTTGATTTGATAATGTACAAGGCTGCTTTGAGCTTGATTGAGCACAAGATTTGGCACTATGTTTTTCAAAATAATGGATAGTCCATATCTATCCCCAAGTTTTTTATGCAATGAATGAATAAATGATACACTATGATATAGGGAAATTGCAATACCGAAGCAAAATCACACTGTTGCTAGCCAAGCACATGAACCCATAACATCTCTCTCTTTATGTTGGTCATGTCCTTGCTCCTATGCTATCACACTTCCTTTTTTCCCCCTATGTTGGCACCTTCCTATCTCATCTTGGTTCCTTTATTGTTGTCCTCAACTGCCCTAAGCAGCCTAACAAGTGGTTATATAGCTCTGTTTCTCTATCATATTTTGGCATTTCAAATTTTAACTAGCTTGTAAGAAATTGTAATAGGTAGTTTAATAAAGTATGTTTCAACACTTTTTGCACCAGTATTGGAGCTTTTTATTGGATGGATCGTGCTCTTGCTTTCATGCCACATGCTAGAGGCAACAGGTAATAAATCAGGTAACTGACATTGATTCACTTAGAGTGGCCCCCACTTCCAAATAAAGAAGAAAGAAATAAAGAAAGAGACAAAAAAGAAAATGAAAAACCCCTCCACGGGAGCCAAAAGGAAAATATCCGGAGAGTTAATGTAACGCTAGCCTGCATCTGGATGCCCATGTGTTATTTCTTTTATGTTGGTGTATCCATGAGTTATAGATTTAGTAACACAATGTTTTTTTTTTCTAATTGCAGCTCTGCTGTAGTAAATCAAGTTTCTGATTGTAAAATTATACTCTTGAGTCTTACAAAGTACATCTCTAATCTCAATAATAGATGGAACCAATTTATTCAAGTTTTATGCTAACCATCAGTCCATTAGAAGCTCAGACCAACCCTACCCTCACTTCCTACCCCTTCCCCCAAAGAGAAAAACAAATAAAAGAAACACTTGAACTTAGAAATTCAAGTGAATAATGAACTAATGAAGAGAGAATATCGCAGATTCTAAAATCTTTCCTACCATATTTTCTCAATAGCCTTTAAATAAACCCATTGTCTAAGTGCCTAACTTGACCAGATTCAAATCCTTTAGCGTGTTTATCTTAATGTAGTACTCCATTACACGTTGTTCACGAGTTCGGGGCTGTTCAGTTGGACTTAACTTTAGTATTTAGTACACTTCAGTTCAATACCAATAAATTGAGTTCAATTTAGTACCACTTAGCTCAAAATTACACTACATAAGTTTACTTCAAAATCTTGTGTATCCCTGTGAAATAGTTAGGATTAACAAGCCAATTTACGCTTATAACAGTTTGATCTCGCAGAAACATTTCCTCAAAAGATTCCTTTTCAAGGTAAAGTAAATCATTTTGGGATTTATTGGTCCCGTGGAGGATAAGCTGCTAAAGGTTAGGTTGAGATGTGTTGGTCATGTGAAGTGGCGTAGCGCTGAGGCCCTGGTGCGGAGATGCAAGAGGTTTACAGTTGTAGGTGGGGTGGCGGTAGACCTAGAAACAATTGGAATGAGGTTAATAGGCGGGACTTAGGACTTCTGGCCCTTAACCAAGGATATGACCTTAGATAGACATGTCTAGAGATCTCTAGCACTAGGGCTGTTGGGTAGCCGTTTGGATTGGGGTGGTAGTGTTCTGATTTTGGCGTTGTGTCTTCTAGATTTTTTGATCCATTGGCTGCAGTGTGAGTTTCCTAGCTCATTACGCTTTTCTTATCCTTTGTTTGCTTTTATTATATTTTGTAGTGCTATGTGCTCTCTGTGCTACTTGAGCTTGGGGGGGGGGGGTCTTCTAGAAACAGCCTCTCTACTTTCTAGTAGGGGTAAGGTCTACTTACACACACCCTCCCCAGATCCCACATTGTGGATTCCTACTGGGTTGTTGTTGTATTGGTCCTTAAATGCAGTTGTGTTCTAACTTCTAACAATGATACTACTCTGTATTAGTCATTTTTCCAAAGATTATTTTTTTTGTAAACTAAATTTTGGACTTTGTTTGATAAACATTTTTATTTTTATTCGAACTATGGGCACATCTTACTGCATTGCCTCCTCTTAAATGTAATACTTCCTTTTCAAACCTTTTTGTCCCAAAATTTTTTTTCCCTGTAATCACTGTTTTTTTTCTATATATATTTGTACTATAGCATCAACTGTTTTTTATTTACTCAGGAAATGTTTCTCTCTTCAAGGTGTATCAGAAACTGTGGTTCAAGAGATTAAGAAGATTCTTCTGGCTCATCCAATGGTTGTCCTAAGTACCAAAACCGTGAGTATAGAGGATAAATACTCATCAAATGAAATTGTAAGGTAGGGGATTTTAGAGGACAGGTCTTTTTTTCTGTTTGGTTAATTTTGGAATCAAGTATGAGCTTTTTCGTAGGAGGGATATTTATGCCTTTGTTTAAAGTATAACTCTTAGGAGTATGCTCACTTCATTTCATGATAATTTGAAGAACTCAGACATGAAAAACTATTTTGAATTAAGTTCTTCACTCATTGATTTAGAATCTTCCGGGATGCAACCGTGCAAGGCAGATTTTTCTTCTGAATATGATTTTTGAACTCTTTACAGGAATGTGGGGAAGTGTTATGGTCAAAATTCCTTGGATGATTTGAGTGCTAAGAGTAGGTGTCCGGTTCTATCATATCGTGAGTATATGCCTTTGGCCTGGCAGGTAATGGTCCATTATTCTGCTCTGTTAAGTGTCAATTCTCTTGAGGATATTTCTGCAACAACAAACCATATGTAGTCCCAACTATGTTGGGTTATGGGGGTCATGATTGTTGGGAACTACGCTTGGATAGGGCAGCGGAAATATAAAAAATTTTGCGTCCAAACGTAGAACCACCCAAGATCTCTTACGAAAACTATATGTTATTGTTTAGAGATATACCTTTCTTGGCGAGCAAGTAACGACATGTGGCTGACTGAATTGATCCATAAGCTCTAGCCACAAAAGTATATGACCTCTAGTGCGTACACACGAACTTTGATGGGTGTTCTTGAGAACAATTATGCTAGTAATTTTCTCAAGAATATTTTCTTAAAATATAAAATATTTGGAGTTGTGAATAAAAAGAGCAAAACAATTTTGGACTCTTTTTTTTTTAGATGGCCGAATATCAAGTGGTTCAACAAAGGGGAATGATCTCCTATTTATAAGGAGTACAATCCTTTTCCCAATCCAACTAGGAATATACCTTTTAAAGTTTAGGAAAGAAATCAAATCCCATTCCTACTTTAATTCCTTATTTTCGGCCCTACCAGTACTTTTGTTTCCAATTTATTTTGTCAACTTTAATTATCAAATAATTAATCACAAAATAAATATCTTTATTTATTTAATATATATTTACGAAACATATGTATATATATATATATTTATATATACCATGCGCCGAACACATATATATATAAATAAATGAATAATATTTAGTCTAGCACATTTTGACAAACTTAATTCTCACATAATTAAAATGTCAAACATACATATATTTACATCATTGTGTCACACGCAATATGTACAATATATTTTACTAAATATTTTCTTCACTCCTTTAACAATATTCTACACAATCAAAAGTTCTATGTGTGTGATCCTCTTCTAGGTTACCCATAACGTTGGCCATAGTATTAAAATACTACAAGTGACAAGCGGTATCTAGCAAGTAGCAACACATTGTCACCCCCAAGTTACGGATATAAAGCTCTTAAAGCAATTCCTTCAACGACACATTTCATTTAATAACTATTATCCCTTTATCACTAATATCTAGACTTAACACAAGGTATGGGATGTGTCACCCTGTTAAAGTTAAATCGAAGGTTTACTAATTCCTCGATTGACTTGTGGGATTCAGATAACATTAATATCATGTATATTAATTTATCTGGGTATGGCCATACACTTCCCAAGTCACATCAATCTGTGGGCCCGTAGATATTATACTTCCATAAAAGAAGGGATAAATCCTATCTACGTCATTCACATCCTTGCTTAAGTTTTACTGCATACCCAAGACATAATTATATATCCACTAATGTTTCAAATGGCGTTAATTATATCTCAAAGCATACAGCTTATACTTACCAAGAATCGTAATGACTTCAAGTCTAAAAAATAGTTATAAATGGTCGTATGAAAATACTATTAACACATTTTAAGGTATACCCATATAGTATTTTCATGGCGGGTCAATCCAGCAATATATCCAATATATTTGCCTACGTGTAGATTCAGATAACGCTTTATCTATAGCTTATGAGACGCAACTACCTCATCTCACACGTATTAGTCTGTATGTATATTATGACGTCCGTATTATCATAATGTTCGACTAAGGATATTTTAGATCTAGTCTCTATATTTGTAACAGTCTCATAATAAGAACATCGTAGTCCTTATCTATGTTACTAGAGCACTAATCTATGGACTGAAGCTATGTCTAAAGTGCACGAGATTATTTAAACATTCTTCAAAGCCTTTATTCTTGAAATAATTCAGATACAAATGATAAGTTAGCCTCTAGGGCTTACATACTTTCAACAATGATATACGTAGCCTTATCCTTATTAAAAAACATGGATTTTTTTGTTAGACCATTGATCCGTTGCTGCATTTACTTCTCAAAACTTGATAAAAAGTAAGAAGAAATGTGTGCCATTATTTTTCCAAAATTAAAACATTGCAATAATGAGTCTTTTAGCTCTGCTTGCGATACACATAAAAAAATAAGTCAAAATGCGTTGCTCTGTTGAGCATGGTCTAGCTAATCTAGGTAAACACTCTTAGCAAATGAATCCTCTCATACACATGTCGGGAAATATATCATTTTACTGAAGGAATAATTAAGTTCTCATTTATTTTGCTCGTTTGCAATTTGTATTGCTTGTCTAGTCTTTTAGAGGTCCATATTAGTAAATGGAGAGCGTGTCTTGATATGGGCTTGGACTTATCCGGATACAAAATATTTTCCTTGAATTACATAAAATTAAAGTGATAAGAGTGTTCATATCTCAAAGTATGCATTACATGTTGTTGTGTTTGGTTTTCAAATCCTTCTTGCCTTCTGTTGTGAAATTAACTGAAGGACTCAGACTCCGACTCACCATCTGGTAGGCTGTAGGAGGCCTACAACCTCTTCTGAGTAGGTGGAAGTAATGCATTCATAACAAGATGGATAGTTTGAGAAAAATAATCAATTGTTGTTTGGTGTGCTGAGGATTGCATGACACTCCTATTTTTAAGTAGAGCCCAATTAGACCCGGGTCATTCGGTTAATCGGTTTATGTCTGTTTTGGGTATATGTTATAACAAGTTCAGGTCATTTTGGTTCTATTCAGGTGCATGTTTAATTCGGTTCTCTACATTTTTTAGTTTGATTCGGTTAGGGTTTGTGATATAATTTGGTTTGGGTGCATACCTTTTTAGGTAGATATCAGTTCAGGTACATAACGGTTCGAATTTCGAGTAGATATAAGTTATGGTAAATTTTGGTTCGGGTATATTTTGGTTCGGATAACTATCAGTGTGGACTTCCTGTTCCTTTTTTTAGATATAACTAAATGGTTCACATCATCTCTTTATCCTCTTCATAACTCACAATCACAATTTTTTTGAACTTCAAAATGAGTCATGATCTGAAATTTGGGTTTGACCAGTTTTGGGTTTGATCTGTTTTGTGTTTGATCTGTTTTGAGTTTGGTCAGTTTTGGGCATGATCTATTTGGCCTTTTTGTCTGATCGGTTCTGGATCCAATTCAGGTTTGATTCAATCTATTTTTTTTCCAGTTCTGGTCATCTCGGGTTTTGGTTATAGAACAGGTATCTTTTTTTTTGGTCATTTGGGGTTTGGGTTATTCAGTTCATGACTCGGATGGACGGGTCTATTTTTCAGGACTAATCCCAATGACTCATATGCATTCTTATGTGGGTCATGGGCAACCCATCTCCTTCACATGTTGTGGTGATTTTCTCCCTTTAATCACCATTCTGTATTTATTCATCTCTTTAACCCATCTCTTCAAGCTTTTTGGAACACTGTGTTTCTTAGAAAGATTTGGTTTTGTATGGAACTGAAGCTCATAATCCTGAAATGCTATAACTTGTGTTTTTTGGCAGTCCTTTGTTTCTCACAGGATACTTGTGTGCCCTTCAGGTGTGCATAAAATATTTGGATCTTAACAATTTCTTGCTCTGTCAATTCCCTTTGTTATGGTATGAAAGTGAATCTTACAGCGGTCTAATAATATGCCACAGATGATCCTTGTGAGAATAAAAACCAATCCACTTATTTTACAGAGTGGGAGTTACCCTCGCTAAGGAAATCAGAAAAGTTTTTGATCAATGATGTATGAAGATTTTTTTAAAGCAATAAATACCTCTTTGTACTATCATTATTTGACTACAGAATTTGTCACGGTGTCTATATTATGCAGGACGGTGTATTTGCTATATGATCATATGCATCTTGGATTCCTGGTTGCTTGAATGTGATCCTGGTGTAGTGCATAATTATTTCATATTGTAAGACAAGTTAATTCATAGTTATCTCTAGATAACACGCGCGCACACACACACACACACATGCGTACATTCATTGCAATATTGTTGATGTAGGGATCTGTGTTCCTACCATCTTTTTACTTGATAATCGCGGCTTCAGTGTTGACGAAGAATGTGGTGAGTTTCATGATGCCACATTCCTGTTGATTTGTTTGTTATTAGTTTTCTTGTTGTATTGTTGACTGTTTTGTATGCGGAATATATGACATTCTTTGCCTCTTTACTGATCCTGTCTGCGTTTTATGGCCTTAACCTTCAAGTCTTCAAGTTTTCATTAAAACAATTGACATCTCACAACGGCCATGTGATGCTTATAACGACATGAGTTGCCAACATCCCACAATGGTCATATATTGCCTATAACGACATGTGTTGGTTTTTTTTGTTTGCAATAAATTATCAAGTAAAAGAAATTAATTTTTTCGGGTTAAAAATAGAGTAAATTTCATAATTTGTCTTTTATAATAGAGGGTTATCCATATTTAGTCCATAATTGATATGTTGTTGGTTTCTACATTTTTAAACTTAGTAACATTACCAAAAAGGCTCCATCTCATGTCATCCAGAGATTCTTCTTTTTTTTAATTGAGAAGTTTTTCCTTTTTTTACTTCATAATTTTTACGCCAAATAACTCAAGTGCATTTTGCCTTGAACTTTATGTGGGTTGTGCATCATTTTTTAAATTCAATCTTTCCTATATTACTTCTTTTGTAATTTTCGGGCCTTTTGGTGCTGAGTTTTAAGCATCCAAGTTTTATTTTGATTTGGTGAGATACTAGTAAGCAATATGCTTTAAATATCTTCAAAGTATTTAATGTTATCACCAAATATATAAGAGGATGCATAGGGAAACATGTTTTCTAGAGTAGGCACAGTACTGAAATTAAGTCCAATTGGACAGGAGGGTATATAATTTACATTAGACTGGGCTTCAATTGTGCAGGTGAAAAGTAGGCATAAAAGCCTTGCTGCAGCGTCTGGAAAGGAGTGGAAGTATATTGTAGAAGTTGTTGGCATTCATCTCTCCTACAGCCCGAGGACCAGTAGTAATGATATAGACTTTGTTCTCTTTTTTTGTTTATTTATTTTTAGCTAAAATTCAGTTCAGCTGAACACTTTAGGCGAACTTTTCTTAATTGAAATTAGTAGAAATCATCCTAAATAGGACTAAAACATAGAGAAAAGTACTAAAATAGGATTTTCATGTTTTTTTTCCCGGAATAGGACTTTGTACTGTGGTAATGTGACTTTGCATTGTGGTAATGTGGTAGTGTACATGTGCAAATTACTATACTTTCTTGGTAATGTATATGACCATATTTGGTAATGTAAGTCCTATTTCGGGAATAAAAACATGGAAGTCCTATTTTGGTATATTTTCAATGTTTTAGTCTTACTTTGATCTTTCTCCATTGAAATTAAAATTTAGTGTTATTTAAGTAAATTTCAATTTAAGAAAAGAGTAATTGTAGAGAAAAAGTAACGCTGAAATTAAGTTGTACGAAGTATAGAAATATTCTGTAACGCTGAGAGCTGCTCTTTTCTCACATACAGGTCTACTTAGCATGCCACATCAACTTTTTACACTGACTTCCTACAAACACTTTTTACCCTCAAAACAACCATATCTATCCTTCCCACATGCCCTTGTTAATTCCACATCTGGCAAGGCAGGAAGGACGTGCGTGTCTTGACAACAAATTTAATCTTATGAGTATTTCTTAGGGTGTTGTATCTATCTCATTTTGGCTAAATGTACTTTATTTATACGGTGTATTTAATAGATAATTATGTCTTTTTTGTACACTAATAACTCATTATGCCTATAAAATTGACTTGCATCTAAATTCCCTTCTTTGTATTTTGAAGGGTAAAATCATTAGTTTATCATAAACAGCATAGATTTAGCCAAAACGAGAGTAGTATAACTATATAGCAACACTTTTTTCTCCGTATTGTAGCATTGATCCTCGGGGTTCTAGAGCCACACTTTCAGTAGTTCCTGATGACCCCTACTCAAATTGGAGCACCTATAGTGCTCAAATCGTAAAATCAATGGTTCCTACCTTCAGCCATTGGTAAACCCCTGCCTTACCCCAACTCGAATATACCCCTCTAAATTGTACAGTATCATTAAAATTTTGTTGACTTTGAAGTTAAGAAGTTTGATCATAAAGTAAACTAAATTTAGGGGGTGGTATTGAAGGCAGGAGTAAGGTCAATTTGAGTCGAGTCGGGCCAGGGTATGAGGGTAAGAACGACCATCTGGGTAAGAACGACCATCTTTACAAGTGAAATAATGTAAATGCCCCAAAAAAACAGTGACATTGCTGCCGACAAGATTCAATAGCTCTGGAATTGTTCTGAGATCAGAAGAAATGCGATCAAATATAAAACTTCTAATCTTTAAGGTCTTGTATTCTTGAGTCTTTATTTCCTTGATTTTGTCCGGTCTTTTTTCATTATCGTCCTTGACCAAGTCTTGAATGTCTATCAAAGTCATGTCCACGGTGTTTGGTCGATAATTTAAACCTACACAATGATCAAATTAGCGTTATTAGTTCAATGCTTACGTAAATGCATATTCAAACAGCTAAAGTTTATTTATAAGCGAAAAGTATTTTTTGTGTATAAGGAGAGAATTCATCATTCTATTTCCATCTCAGAAAAGACCCAAATATTTCTCAAAGACGTCAGCTTGAGTGCCACTGAAGAATTCTAAAACAAGTATTGGATTTATTAAAATTAATTACCTGGCGATACAGTTGTTAATAACTCAGATCATTCAAAGGACTTCTTCAACTTCTTCCTTAGTAGCCTTCATAAAATGAAGGTTGTCCTTCACGAAAAGGAGATGATGATTAATAAAAGGGAGACCCCTAGTCACCCAACAAAGAAGTCGGCTCACGCAGGGTTTACAGTGGCGGGGGATTAGGGTAGGGGGGAGATTATTTCTTCTTAATTAAAAGTGCTTGGGAAAAGATTATTTCTTCTTAATCAAAAGTGCTTGGGAAGGCTATATTTATAGGCGAAAGAGATCTATGTCCTAAATAAACTATGTTTTCTATCTTGACGCTTTAAAAAATCGGCGAGTTAAAGAAACGTAAAGAACCTCTCGAAGAAGCTTATAATTTGATCACCTAATAAAATCTACGTATAATATATAAATAAATCGACAAAGAAATAATGTTGCTAAACACAATCATCATATCGCTTCGGTGGCCCAACATTTTGACGTGGCTGACTCGTTGTAGTACGTGGGTATCGTAGTAGGCTCGTGATCCTTGAATTCTTCTACAATTGGACGCGTATCACTAAGTCCAAAGGCACGATCGAATAATAACATTGGAGAGATCCCCATTATTAACCAACACTCAAGGAGACAATTGGGCCTCGAGATGGATGGTAACTAGAGCAGCATGGCAAACAGATTACAACAAATTCCGGGGCCCGTGAAGATGTTTCACCTCGGTGAGTGGCAATGCGTTGTTTCTTTGATGCATGATTGTTTTTGACAGAGAACTACGGCTCCTTTGGGTGCGTTCTTTTCTCTCCTGGTAGCACCTTCAAGGCTGCTTGCGGTTCGTTCCTTTGATGGTTTGGCCAGTTGCTTGCAAAGAGGATTATCTTGGTTGAAAGCTTGAGGGGTGCAAGATGTTGAAGTTTTTTATGATTGGAGATCTTGGTTCATGCACTAATGCAAGAAAGAAAATTTGCTTGTTCTTCCTATTTGGGGTCTATCTTTGAGGATTGTTTTGAGTTAGATAAATTTCTTTGTTTTTGTTTTTTTTCAATTTTGTTCGTCAACATTCAATACGGTGGCCAATATTTTGGCTAGACATGTTGTTGCTCAGTCAGTTTTATAGGGTGCTTGTCCACCCAGTTTTGTCTCACATTTGATTTCGTCCACATATAATATAATAAATAATGTAACGAATTTGGTCAATCATTTAAGTTATGACTAATGTCAATAAATATTTGTTTAAGACTCCTCAAAAATTCAAGTATGAACGCTAAAGGAATCATTCAAATATGAATATGAATCAAATACAAATAGAAATTCAATTTGTTTTTCAAAAATGGATTGTTATTCTCATTCAAAAAATTAAACAAATACTACCTCCGTCCAAAAATATTTTTAGTTATAATGTAAATTTAAAATAATTTGGTTTATTTTCCACGTTTTACAGGTGATTAAGGAAAATTGTATAAGTTTGATCAAGGTGAAACAACGCAAATTGAAACGAGTAGGACTCGGGAAATATCAAAATGGATAGGGTGTAGAAGGTAATTGAGGTATAATCGGTTAGATTTTAAAAATGTAAAAGCAATTGTGTCCATTGAGCCCAAATTGAAATATTTTATGGGACATCTAAAGGTAGAAAAATATTAAGGGACGGAGGAAGTATAACTCAAATTTAATGGAAGAAAAAAATATCACTAGATCTAGTGGGCAAACTTATTGAAGCAAAAGTGGTGTGGAGGCTTGTGCTTAAGGCTGCATTCCGTTTTCTTGATCTGATCTGATTTTTTGAAGTTCTGATCTGGTCTGTTTTGATATGATCTGATTGGAGCTGATCTGATCTGATTAGATCTGGTCTGATCTGATATGATCTTGTTTGATTAGATTTGATCTGATATAAATTCAATTTAAAATAAAATTTTATTATATTAATTATAATTATAGTAATTATAATAAAATAAATATTTATACTAATAATAATAATAATAATAGTAATAAGAATAACAATGATAATAATAATAACTATAATAATAACATTCGTAATATTAAGAGAAATAATAATAATACTAATAATAATAGAAAGATTAATAATAATAATAATAATAATAGTTACAATATTAATAGTAATCATAATAATAATAGTAATAGTAATAGCAATAATAGTAATAATAATAATAGTAATAATAATAATAGTAATAATAATAATAATTGAAATAATAATAATAGTAATAGTAACAATAACAACAACAACAACAACAACAATAATAGTAATAATACTAATAGTAATAATAACAATAACAATAGTGATAATAATTATAATAATAATAGCAATGGTAATAATAATAGTAATAATAATAGTAGTAATAATACACACACACACACACCATATAAACATTTTTCAAAGTAAATCAAAAGTTCTATAAAATATGAAGTGTCTTTATTTGTTCACATATTTTGTCTAATATATTTCAAAAGTATTCAAATGCACGACACGTACATATTTGTATCAATTGTATTTAAAAAAGGTTTGAATTTTAGTTATAACATCATATTTTTCAAAATTTTTTTTGGTAATGTATATTACCATGTTTGGTAATGTAAATGCATTTTAAGTCTTATTTCAATAATAAAAATATGAAGGTCATATTTTAATATATTTTTAATGTTTTAGTCTTACTTGATTGTTTTTCTCAAATGTGTATGTGTGCCTATTTTTGGCTTGGTATGTTTACCAAGCATTTCTTATGGAGTACTCCTTCCGTCCTAAAACTTTCTTCCCAGAGCACTATTCTAACTTCACGGAAATTTATATTTATTTGTGTTTTTTCATGGTCTATATGATAAAATAAAATATTCTTGTCACCACTTGTTTTGTTGAATTTTTGATGTAGTTTTTAAATATGTATGTTTTATTTTTTATTTCAATACCAATATTTAAATAAAATAAATTGAAAAAACTTGAGATTTTTCTTCGTTTTGCGCAACGAGAAGAAAGATTTAGTAAGGAGAGAGTATTTAACTTGCATGACTTCCATCACAAGAGGTAAAACTCTATTGTGAATGACAGTAAAATAGCAGAGATGCCGTAAACTATTACGGAGTAAAACCACAGAGAAGTCCAAATATTTCCACTGAAAAATGAAAATGCTTTCTGAGATCTTCATCTTCTGCCTCCTCCTATCTCCGGCGATCGTGGCCGCTGAGCAGCCTCAGTTCGCCGTCGATGGGACGGTATTGGAGTTGGACGATTCCAATTTCGATGCTGCCATTTCGAAATTTGATCATGTTTTCGTTGATTTCTATGCCCCTTGGTGTGGCCACTGCAAGCGTCTCGCTCCCGAGGTTGTGTTTCACTTCTCTTCTCTTTCTTCTTTCTATTGAGCTGTACTGTTTAAAGTTCATAACCAAGTGTGACATGTAAGGACGAGATCAACTAGAATAAACATACCATGCTGATAATAAAGAAAATTGGCAACTTTGTTTCGTTCTTGTTATTTCTTATGGGAATTTAAATTGAAATTGCGAAACTTGTTATAAATCGTGACAGCTTAGTCTAGAGCTGGAAATGCTTTTTAATCCATTTCGAGTAGCTGGGTAGGTGCATTGACGTATGGGGTGTTGTTATGTGCTTTATATGCATTGTATGTTTGGTGCTATTTGTTACTATTTGCTTGCACTACTTTTCCTTAGTTAAACAACAACAACAACCCAGTTGAATCCCACTACAGTAGGGTCTAGGACATAATGCTTTTTTTTAGTTAACTTTAGTTTATCTCTACTTTGGGTGTGCTTGGCGCTTTATCTGTGGTGCATCTGTGTTCTCCCAACATTATGTTTCCACTGTGATCCTTCTATTTGGCAGCTTGAGCCGGGGGTATCTTGGAAACAGCCTCTCTACTTTTGAGTAGGGGCAAGGTCTGCATACACACACCCTCCCCAGACCCTACTTTCATGGGATCCAACTGAGTTTTTGTTGTTGTTGTTGTTGTTGTCGTGGTTTGAAGCATTTAATGTAATTAATGGTAAATGGTGAAATACCTGACATACATAGATGTTTCTATGCAGCTGGACAAAGCTGCTCCTGTTCTTGCTGAGCTTAAGCAGCCTATTGTGATTGCAAAAGTAAATGCTGACAAATACAGAATTCTTGCCTCTAAATATGACATCGAGTATGTTTTCTTTGTATCATCTCTAAACTAGAAAAAATGAGTGCTAATATGATTGATTCTTGTTGTACTCTAAAAGATTGCTTTTAGCTTTCACTAGTTAACATTTCTTTCTACAAATCTGAGATCTGCTCCAGGAATAAAGATAAATTAAAATAGGAATCTTGCAAGTTAAGTACTGATTGCTGAATTTCCAGAATTTAAGGCATTAAAGCTTAATTCTGAATTTATTTCTTCGGTTGTAATGCAGTGGATATCCCACACTAAAGATGTTCGTGCATGGAGTTCCTACAGATTATTATGGACCACGAAAATCAGATTTACTTGTTAGATTTTTGAAGAAATATGCTGCATCTGATGTAACTGTTCTTGACTCTGACTCTGCCATTAGTGACTTCATTGAAGAAGCTGGCCCTTTTTTTCCAATATTCATAGGATTTGGCTTGAACCAATCTGTGGCATTAGATATGGCTGTCAAGTATAAGAAGAAAGCATGGTTTTCTGTTGCAAATGGTTTCTCAGATGAAACAATGGCCTTGTATGATTTTGATAAGGTTCCTGCTTTGCTAGCCCTTCATCCAAGCTACAACGAACAAAACATTTTCTATGGTCCATTTGAAGGTAAGCTTATTGTATGTTATTTGTGTGTTTACCATTAATTTCTGCAAATAATAAGCATTTTGATTCTTGTGGTATTTTGATATTTGGTGGTACATGGCGTTCTTTTTGCATATCAAGAGCTTGACATATTACAACAGCGCACATCTCTTTATTCTCATACAGTCACACACATACCTTTTGTCATTTTGTGATGTCCAAATCATTCAGTTAGTGAGTCATTGCATTTAACTATTGATTGAAACTCCCATTTCCAATATTAGATTGTGAAAAAAACAGTTACTTATGAGATGGCTAATAGCAATCGAAAATGAGTCCTCTCAATGAGATAAATATGTGCGTATACTTCTATGCGTGACTAATGTTCCCATTAAGTACCAAATCTCTTTTTTTGTCAGTTTAATATTTGTATTGAATCACTGCCTCCATTGAGAATTTGGTTACTACATGTTTCAGTCAATACTATGAACAGATTATCAAGTAATGATATTTGAATTCCTTATGAGAAAAGAGATTTTTGTAAACAACCACGGAAGACTTTGGATTTATGGATAATTATTTACGTTATCCATTGCTAATTAAGAGCTCAAATTCATCAAATACTTGAAACGCCATATTATTTTAGCAATCATTTTGAAGATATAGTTTCTACCAAAACTGACTCCTGTTTCAATTAAGCACAAATGTTTTTTTTGAGTTTGATTTATTATATCGAATCGCTACCTTCATTGAGAAATTTGATCAATTTTGCTTGACTTCTCAATCAATTCTATGAACAGATTACCAAGTAATAATATGTGATATTTTTACCTGAAAGTATAACTTTGTAAACAACAGTAGAGAATTGGTTTTTAGATATTTATGTACGTGATCCATTGTTATTTAAGAGCTCATATTCATTAAATAATTGAATTTTCATATTTATTTTAACAGCCGGTTTGAGGATTTTAGTATTTTACTCCTTTCATTCCAAATTATACTTACTTTTTGTTTTTTCATGGGGTTTAAGAAAGGTGAAAGTGTGTGGTTGGAACTTATTCGGGATAGAGAGAAACAATTTGAATTAATCAATGCTTCGCTTAAAACAAATGAGAGGTTTATTTTCTGATGACCCAAAAAGGAAAGCGAGAAGCTTATTTTGGGACGGCGGGAGTACAACTAAACTTATCTAAAGTTTCAAAAGATATACAAAAATAAATCACCCAAAATAGGAGCAAAACATAACTCTCATCCCCAAAATAGGAGTGACATGTTTTTATCCTTAAAACAAGACTATTGCAGTGTGATTATGTGGCATTATATATTCGCATTCCACATTGCTTTTTGGTATTATATATTAGGATTATTGACAATATAGGTCTTATTTTGGGATAAAAACATGAACGTCGTATTTTGGTTCTTTCCCTCTATTTTATTCCTATTTTAGTCATTCTCCCTCATACAAATGTGATACACAAAATTAGTTAATGCTACCAACAAGAAGAATATTAAACTTTGTATCATAAAATGGAAACATGCGGCAGAGTTTAACATCAATTAGGGCAAACCACCACACTTGGATTTGAGATTTCATTTATGGCTTTATGCTGTCATAACTCATAAGCTAGTTTATGCCTCCAAAGTTTCTGGTTGAACTTCATTTTGATGCGGTTTTCAGAGGCTGCATTACTCATAAAATTAAGTGAATATGGCCTTTACAACTTTACATTTTGTATTCATAAGGCACTTAGCTGGTAAGTTTCAGTAAATGTGGCCTTGAAGTTCATTTGCATGTGAAAATGGAACGTGTAGAGCTTGAACTAAAAACAACTAATCTTTCTAATTTTAGACCGGATGGCAGCTACTGGTTGCTAATTCTTCCTGTTTTCTACTGCAGAGAAATTCCTCGAGGATTACATCAAACAGAGTTTGTTGCCTCTGGTTTTACCAATAAATCATGATACATTAAGGTTAATGAAGGATGATAATAGAAAAATTGCCCTTACAATCATGGACAATGAGACGGATGAGAAGTCTAAGGGATTAATTAAAACCTTAAAGGCTGCTGCATCTGCAAACCGTGATTTGGTCTTTGCTTTTGTTGGATTCAAGCAATGGCAAGATTTTGCAGAGTCATTTGATGTTAATAAGAAAACTCCTCTGCCAAAAATGATAATCTGGGATGGAGATGAGGAATACTTCACTGTAAGTAAAGAGTGCTACACATCTTCATTTACCTCAATTTTTATAAAGCTAACTTCCACGCACAGTGGATCTCATCTTTTGAGCTTTATCAAAGTGAAACATGGGAACAAGTCTGAGGAACCCATGTGGCTGCACTTACAAAATATGGTAATAAGCCCATGTGATTTTAAAATGCCCACATGGGTGTATTTATTACCGCATTTGATAATGTGGACATATTAAAGTGTGTACACATGAGTTAGATGCAATCTTCCGGTTAGTAAATGGTTGGACAGTTTTATTATGATCAAGTTGCTAGGCAATGCTTGTGTGTAATGTTCAGATAGGATATATAACTTATGGCTGCCAAAGGAAAGCATTTGTCAGTTGTCACCTTACTCATATGAGATAAATCACCTCTCTAAGTCTTAGGCATCACGACTCTTTAGCCTTTTTTAATATTGGAAGCCAAATAGGAAAAAGGACAAATGTTCGTTCATTGTAAAGATGCAATGCAAATGATGAAAACCACCTTGCTTGAGGTGTCCTCTTGCACAACACTTTGTACAACAACAACAACAACAACAACCCAGTTAAATCCCACAAGAGTAGGGTCTGGGGAGGGTGTGTGTACGCAGACCTTGCCCCTACTCGAAAGTAGAGAGGCTGTTTCCAAAGAGACCCCCGGCTCAACGTCGAAAGTTGCATTGTTTGACTAACTGCTACTTCATTAATTAAAGAAGCGCAGATAGTTTAGAGATCCATTTTGATTTATTCCAACACTTTGT